ATTCTAAGAAAAGATACAGTGAGGGCAAGAAGCTGAAATAGCAAAATTCCCATTAAGGCAAAAGGCTGTTTGAGGGAGCAATTTGCAGATTCAGAGCCTGAAGGTCACTCGGTTCTAAGAATACAGATTTAAGATCAAAAGTAAGGTAAAATTATTGTCTTTGTTAAATTTAGAAAGAATTCTTCTAATATCTTGAAAGAATCGTATGGATTATTACTTTTCATGTTTGCAAAAACTTATCTATCATATTATTATTATTTATCATAAAACTTGTAAGGAATTATCTATATGATGCCAGGTTACACAATTAAAGGATTAGATAATCTGTTAAAAAGACTATTAGAAAAAATAAAAAAATATTTTTTCTCAACTAGAGATTATGGATATATCATCTAAGAAATATGATAATCTTAAAGAATTATATGACAATTATATTACAGATTATGCTAATTTATTAGATCAAAGGATGGAACTATATATTAAGATTCGAAATAAGAGAAATAGAAGAATTTTGAAACTATTCCAATAAATTAGGATATTTTGTGCAAAATATGACAAGACATTTCATTAAGGGTAATATAGACATTTTAGCAAGAATGAATAGTGATAGGCCATTTAGAAAAATCCCCCTTTTAAATTAAGTGTTGATTTAGGAGAGAAAATATTTTGCGGGATGAAGGGCCTAGAAGAAATTAGAAAGAGTGTGAAAAGAGTATTGGTTGGGGAGAAGTAGTAAATGTATTATGTCAAAATTTGACATGAATAAAAATGAAATAGAACTTTCCAAATTTGTGTAAGATTCAATATTTGGTTATTTTTTTGATAATCTCAATTAAAATTGACTATTTTCATAAGAGGTAATTATAATTGTACCACAAGTTTTGTTATCTGCATTATATTTTAGTCCTTAACATTTGCTTATATCTTGCTTATTTTTCAACATTTTTTCATTATATTCAAATACTTAACCTTTCATTAATTAGCACATCTTGTCACTCATGATAATTTTCATCTAATAGATACATTGGAAGTCATAAAACGACTTATTTATCCCTTATATATAAGCCAAAAAAAAAAAGGTATTTCGATAAAAAAAAATCTCTTACTTCAAAGCACGTTTACATACTATTAACAATGTACATATTGACTAGGCATCGATGTACATGATCGACGTAGTACGTTGTTCAACTAGTAGTAAAAAGGACTTGGCAATTTAATTTTAAAAACTATTCCATACGAGAGTTCCTTGATATGTTGGGAAGCTTCTTACTGGATGTGGAAGAACTGGGGTCTTAGGATATGTTCTAAATTAACAATCACATGAATTCATTATACTAAAAGAAATACTTACTGGTCGAAATTCAGGCTAGTGGATAGGTGTGCTTATTTTTTATAACTAGGGGTTGGCCGTTCTTATTTTTTTCTAATTTCTTCCCACCTACTATTTTGGTTCCATAATATTGAGACTAACACATGTTAAAGCATATCGGCGCATGTCATTGTTCAATGCATGCCAGAACAGACAAGTAATGCATGTCAGAACAGACAAGTAGGCACCAATAACATGTTAGTGCGACTTATTATCCCACCTAATTCCCACACTCAAAAACAAGAAAATTTTCTGACTTTTTATGGTCTTTAATTCTTTGGCCTTGTTACATGTACAGTTTGGTGTACAGTCCCCTCACATGGGGGGCGGGGCCTGCGCATTAAATGGGCGTGGGCCCTTCCCGTCGTGTTAGGGGTGTGTACACCGAGCTGTAAGGCTAGGTATAAAGGGGCATTATTCTTAATTCTTTCTCCTGGTTGGCCTAATGTGTTCCCTTGTGCATTATCTTTTTCTTAGAAAGTACCAAATCATGTTTAACTTTCTATCTCTCCTTTCGGGTTCGTTCCAAACTGAAGCCTGATTGGTCACTCTTTTTACTTTTTTCCCTTCCCTTGCTTACCTAATGTCGCCCCTCAACTTATGAATAATCAAACCAATGGGACTAGCTACTTGCCACACTATTATTGGCTAGGTTCCTCTTTTCCTTGCCTTGTGTTGAATATGTAATACTAAAACTAGAACCTTGAGAATTTTCCTCTCTCTCTCTCTCTCTCTCTTAATAATTTACCTCCTAACTTTGGCTATTAAACAACTATAATTAAAGTTATGGTTATCCATTTAATCAACTCCCATTTCTCTCTCCAACATAAATTAATCATCTTTCTTTCTTTTTTCCGGCTTACATAAGCATCTTTACATTCTAAATCAAGACTCTTTCCAAAGGTCGTGTTCGGTCGAATTTTTCTATTGTATTCAATTTACCCTTCTCGAATTCTCATTGATCCTATTTAACTAATTAAATTCCATATCTATATGTAAATCTAATTTAGTTAAATGAGTTCTTTATCCTAGGAATTCAATTATGAGCGCATGGTCTAAATCCTAAATTCATATCTCTATTCATAAAGGATTCACGAAATCATCAAATTATTAATTTATTTAATACATAGTCAAATCAACACATGGAAGAGTTAAAAACCAAAAATCTTAATAAAAAAATTTTAATGATCCCAATTTGTTACATTATTCACCCGAAAATTAAATTTAGCTTTTCATAATGAAAAAGGAAAAATCATAGATTGTTATGGAATATATCACCAGATTTTGTATTGAAGGTGTGGAAAAAAAGTAGATCTTGTACCAAGAATTTCTTTCTCTTCCAATTGATGCTTTACACAGTGAATTTCTTGATGTTTTCTTCCTTGAATTCCTTCTTTGATTTTCCAATTGTGTTCTTTAGCCTCTCAATGTGGGTATCCCCTCCAAAAATGTGAGAAAATTTGTATTTATAGGTGCTTTGTCATGTGTAGAAGGTAGGATTTTCGTCTAGATTCCAAAATGGCTGAAATTTCGCTCAGGTTACAGCTCTGTGGGGCCTAGAATAATCTCCTTTGGTCGTTTGATTGATCTGTCAGCCAGTTGCAATGAGATTGCTGTAAGTTTTTGTACTATAATTCGGCTGTCTTATGATGCGAATTTGACTTCTTGGTAAATATAAAAGTTGTAGATACGTGTCTTATCTTTCCAACCCAACTTGAATCACCTTTTTTGATAACTACAGCTCGAGTTATGACCATTTTACCGAAACAGTTGTATCCTACACAAGACAGCTAATCATTTTTTTACTTTTCCATATCTTTTCTCCACTTGCTCCACCTATTCTACCTTGGAAATACATGTGAAATATATCAAATAAATACTCTTTCAAATGTATAATACTCATGCTGACATGTATTTAAATACGTAGTTCGATTAATTGCGCTTTTAACCATGTATTTATGGAAATTGAATTTACGGCAAGAGAATTGAAATTAGAGACTCACATTAGTGAATTTAAACAAATTGAATGTAAAATGTCTTATAAATGATATATCTTTGAAGTACTTTAGACACTAATCACACTCTCCAACCAAGATGTTACTAGTCTCTAGCAATAGAAATTAAAATAATAGTTCAAATGAAATAGCTTGTCACATTTGCCTTAGGATTTGAAACTGCTTAACAAAATGCTTCTAAGGTTTGCTACCAAAACATAGTCTAACTTGTCCGATGCTAGACCAACGTGTGTGTGTGCATAGTCAATTCAGTTACGTACTTTTTTCAAATTGGACTCATCCCGACTCTCAATGGTCAACTATTTCTCTCTCCTCTTGTGGGATGCATACCCTCAAACTTGATTTTGTAACATTTTTCGAAGGTGTGATTTATGGTTAAATTTATATACTATTACTCACCCTCTAATTTGGTTAGATTTTACTAATTGTAGCTCAACACATCAATAAATGATGATTTTCCTTAATTTTGACTAATTCAACCTCCAAGAATCAGCTAACCTACTAATCCCTTATCAAATGTTTAATTCTCTAAAATAAGTGTTTGGGACTTAATCAAGGCATGTAGTGCCTCTTCTGTTTCATGCACCTGGTTTTTTTCTAGTTTGTCGTGCGTATTCTTTTTCATGCACTATATACATATATATATAATTGTCCTCATTTGGCCCTTTTAGGGTAGCTTCACAACATGACAGTTTTTTTCCTTCTATGCAATGATTGGTGCAATGTTCCTCATCAAACACTCATTCTCGAAAATTGATCTTTAACTTAAGATTTTCACCTAATTATCATTTCGTTGGTCTTAAGCAATCCACACAAAATTTAATACACATGGAATCAACATCTATCTCAATATCTCCCAATGTCACATTTTTTTGATATCTACAGCTCGAGTTATGATCATTTTACCGAGACAGTTATATCCTGCTCAAGACAGCTAATCATTTTTCACCTTTCAGCATCTTTTCTCCACTTGCTCCACATGTTCTACCTTGAAAATATATGTGAAATACATCAAATAAATACTCTTTCAAAAGTATAGTACTCATGCCGACATGTATTTAAATACGTATTTCGATTAATTGCACTTTTAACCATGTATTTATGGAAATTGAATATACGGCAAGAGAATTGAAATTAGAGACTAACATTAGTGAATTTAAAAAAATTGAATGTAAAATGCCTAGTAAATGATATATCTTTGAAGCACTTTTAGACGCTAATCAATTTTACTTCTCCCAATCCAAGAGACCAGTAAATCGAGAGGCATCAAATTAATACCGATACCTAAATCACATAAAGAATACTCAAAATAATTGGAACCAATTGTACAAAGTATCATAAAACTTCCTGGGTCTTTTAGTTTAGGAGGTAGCTTTTACAATAGAATTGCACTGCACTCATCGTTCATGTAGACAGTCTCATGTTCTTCTAGCTTTCTTTTGTTAGACAAAATCTCCTTCAAGAATTTTGCATAGCTGGGCATTTGGGGTGTTGCATATGCAAACGGGATATTTATGTGTAGCTTCTTGAATATCTCCACAAACTTGGCAAACTGCTTGTCCAACTTCTTTCTCTATAGCTTCTGAGAAAAGGGAATTGATGGCACATAAACTTTTATGGGGCTTGGTACTCATATTGTGGATGTTTCTTTTCGTTCTTCCTCCTCATTAGTGGTTGGTACAGACTTTTCTTCTTTATCGACCTTTTCAACCATTATCTCTTTTTCTTTTCTCTTTGGTCTCTTTATATGTATCTCTGAAAGTTGTACTCCACTTCTAATTGTAATAGCTTACAATTGCTCTTTTGGATTGACCATTGTATTGCCTAGCAATGTCCCTTGCGGGCGTTCTACAAGCTATTGAGCTATCTTACCAATTTGTGTTTCCAGTTTCTTGATGAATGCTTGCTGATTCTAAAAGTTAGTGTCAATTTACTAGAACACCTTGTCTGTTTTCTACATGTACTGGTTGAACATCTCACCCAAACTTTTTTTCTCGTGTTGGGCATTGTTTGAACTATTTCCTTGCTAATTATCCGACCATTTGAAATTTGGGTGTTGCTTCATCCTAGATTCTATGTTTGAGCAAATGGATTAAAATTTTAAAAGACATTCTGAATAAAATAGACTTGTTCCTCTGGAAAGACCATAGATGTACAGTTTTCTATAAGATGATTAGCCCCGTAGTTTTTGCATGATGGACTGGCTATCACCGTGCTCCTTTTGTTTGTGAATTCACCAATAACTCCACTTGTTTTGTTAATGCTGCTATTTGGGCATTGGTAGATGCTGTGCTATCTAATTCATATATTTATACTGCTTTTGGAGACACAACTTTTTCTACTGAAAATATGGAGTGAGTAGTAGCAATCAATTCAAATAGATCCATACATTTTTGCACTGATTTCCCTATAATCAATCCTCCTATAGAGGAATCCACTTAAGATTTGGACAGCCGTGATAGTCCCGTGTAGAAATACTGCAGTTGATTTTCAATAGTGATCCTATGATTTGGGCATTTTTTCATCAACTCTTTAAATCTGTTCCATGCCTCGTGGTAGCTTCCCCATCTCTCTATTAAAGGTTTGAATTTTTAGTTTGATTTTTGCTATTTTAGCCAGAGGAAAGAACTTATTGCAAAATTTCTTGGTCAGTTTATCCCATGTGGTAATACTTCCATCAGGTTCGGTATCTAGCCATTCCAGTGCTGCATCTCTCAAAGTATATGGGAATAATCATAGCCTGACGGTGTCTCATTAACCTAGAAGCATGACAATTATGACAACTCCTCAGAAATCTTGAGATATGTCTTTGAATTCTCATGAGGTAGCTCGTAGAATTGTAGATTGTTGCTCATCAAATTAATCCAGTTAGCCCTTATCTTGAAGTTGTTTGCCCCCAAAATCTAGATATGCAATATTGGACCATGTAGGCGCTGCTATAGGCATTAAGAACATAGACACTGACAAGTTCCCTTCATTTACTTCTCTTTGCTCTTGCTGTTGATCTCTTGTGATCATCAGTTCAATTGGCTATATAGGAATAGGATTGTTTAGATTGTCGACCATTCGATGTTTCTGTTTTTGTTAGTGTTCCCTGCATCTTCGTCTAAAGGTACGTTCTTTTTTGAATCAAATGGTTCAAGATCATCACCATGGACACGGAGCATACAATGAACACATTTTTGTCAAAATAAAAGAAAATAAAAAAATAACAGTTAAAAATAAATATAAATTAAGACTAGAAGTAATAGTCCCTGGAAACAGCTCTAAAAACTTGTTGTCAATTTTATTTCCGCAAGTATATGAATCGTAACAGGTAATAGTGGGCCTAAAAGTCTAGGTTATCGATCTCACGAGAACTATATTCTAGTACTTAATTCAATTTTTCTTTAGCCACTATCTTATGAAATAAAAAATTGAAAGATTTGAGTTTTAATTTAAATGTGAGAAAATAAGTGAATGCACACACGACTAGTTTGAAAATCAAATTATGAATGGAAGTTAGGGCAAAATAATTTTACCTATTGATCACATTTACATTCTAAATCAAGACTCTTTCCAAATGTAGTGTTCGGTCGAATTCTCCATTATATTTAATTTACTCCTCTCGAGTTCTCATTGATCATATTTAATTAATTAAATTCTATATCTCTATGTAAATCTAACTTAGTTGAATGAGTTCTTCATCCTAGGAATTCAATTATGACCGCAATAATTGGTATAGGTATCTTTGATCATTATACCAATATACCAGATTTTATTACATGGTCTAAATCCTAAACCCATATCTCTATTCGTAAAGGACTCACAAAATCATCAAATTATTGATCAAGTAATTTAATACATTCAATCCATAGTCAAATCAACAAATGGAAGAATTAAAAACCAAAAATCTTAATAAAAAAATATAAAGGATCCCAATTAGTTACATTATTTAGCCTAAGAATAGATTTAACTATTCATAATGAAAAAGGAAAAACCATAGATTGTCATGGCCTCTTAATGTGTGTATCCCCTCTAAAAATGTGAAAAAATTTGTATTTATAGGTGTCGTGCCATGTGTAGATGGTAGGGTTTTAGTCTAGACTCCAAAAAGGGCCGAAATTCTGCTCAAGTTGTGGCTCTTGGCGGCACTGCGTCAGATTCAATGTGGCACCGTAGCGCCCTGGGGCCCCACCTCTCTGATGTTCTCAGCATCGAGGCTCAAGTGATATTGGGCGCCACAGGGCCCTGAATGTGGCACCGCGGCACATACACTCTGTTTTCTTCTTTATTTTTGCTGCCTTGGTGCCACTTGTCCAACAATTTAGCTTTGCTTATTTTGCCTCTTTATCCACAACTTCTTTTCAATCCCTGCCACTAAATTCAATTGATAATCTTTTTCGTATCCTTCACCATCTCGATAAATCTATAAAACAACATTAACAAACACATTAAAAAATTCAATACTCGTAAAATCTAGCTTACAACCAAGTTAAAATTGGCTTAAACTTATGAGTAAAATGCACTCATTAGGGCCTCATTATGATATGGAATTGGTTGCATGAGCTTATCATTTACCTTGTGGAGTGAACTATGAATGCTAAGTATCAAACTATTGTTTGGTTGCCATCACTGAATGTGTTGGAAAGGAACCATCAAGTAAAATGAACTTTTGGAAAATTGATTACAATAACCTTAAGAACGCTTTCCATTAGCTTCTTCTTATCTATGCACCAAGATTGGTGACATCAACCTCAGCATGTACAATGCACTCTAAATTGCATAGTTTAGGAGTGGAATTGAAGAGCAATTATTAAAAGTTACAAGCAATAATTATTTTTAGCAGTTAGTAGGAATTCTTCAATTTTCAGCACTAAGCAGCACTCATTCAGCTAACAAACTGCATAAACATTCATTTTATATAATTTTTTTTCTATTAAAATTTTACTAGTTGCTTTTTATTGTTTGTTTTCGCTATAATTATTGGTATTGTATGAAAATATATGCTCTTGGCCAATAGAAAAGCAAGAGGAGGTGAAGTTGGCATGGGAGGCCACCTTGAAACTTTCACTTAGGGACATATTTTGTGAGGCTAGATGTCGGAAAATATTTTAGACCCAAATATGAGGAATTAACACAATAATATGCAACAAGTCACTTAATTATTTCTAGAAGATTAAAGTATTTAACTCAATTAGCCCTAAGTTTACCAATCACATAAATGTGTAGACCAAAAGCAATAAAATGAATAACACCACATATGATCACAGAGGAAAACCCCTTCGCAGGACCAAAAACTTCAAGGGAAATTTGTCAGTAAAATTTACTTAAAACATTAACTTACAATGAGTTCAAATACTGCAAAACCTTAACTAACTCAAGCCACCTAACTTGCAAATCACTAGGAAACCCTTTTAGTTGTACGATCTGCACTTTCTAGCAACTTTGGGCTTCTTTTCTCTCCGTGTGGATCACCAAGAACAAACTCATTCCGGAGCGTTGGAATTGCGAGTGCCTCTTCTCCTAAACTTCAAAACTTTGAAGAATTATGGATGAAGGTAGGTTTACTAGTGTTTGATCTTTAGACTTTTTCGTGTTGATCTTTAGTTGAGGCAAGAGATTTATGGATATATGGATTTGAACTTCAATATATATTCTCTTGACGTAAAACAAGGCTCAAGCAATTTACAAATTTTGGAATGAAAATAAATCAAGTGGTTGAATGTAGAGATCTTTCGATATAGTATATATCTTCAATAATATGATCTCTATAATGAAATAATGATTCAACATACATTGGGACATTCCCATAACTATATACAAGTGTTTAGTGGGGGGACGGTGTAAAAAGGGCATTTTTTAAAAAAGGGTTGGGGGGGGGGGGGGGGGGTAAAAAGGGATTAAAAATCAATATTTTATGTGAACTAGGATTCTGGATCTGTTGCTATAGCGAAATCCCTCTTGCCATCGAGTTGGGACTTTGTCGCTTGAGCACCAAGGTTTTGGAGGTCGAGTGCCATGGTCTAGCTGTGAGCGCGATGTGGGCTTGCAGCGAGTAGTCAACACGTCAACCTTTTTCTTGGTCCATGTTTTTTTTCTTTGACTCATCCAAGGACTACAATACCAACCATATACTATTTTGACTTTAATTTCAGGAGAGTTGAGTATTTGAGTTAGAGAGAGAAATTGATATTTGATGATGATATGTTTGGATATTTTGATTATTCTTGGAATTTTAATATTGATATTGTGTTTAGAGTTTTGTCAATATTGATAGTAATAATTATATATTTTTTTTAAAAGTTATTGATGAACATAGTAACGCATGTTTTGGTGTTACATATATTTTACTTATGTTGTTTTATACGTGTTAGTTATATTTTTTCATTCTCTTGTTTTTCATTAGTATTATCGTTTTCATGTGTTTCAGAAAATGGGTATGACAGGATAGTTAAATTTTGGGTCTATTTTTCAACACTAGAGAAATAACAAAGACATTGGAATTTTAATATTGATATTGTGTTTAGAGTTTTGTCAATATTGATATTAATAATTATATTTTTATTTAAAAGTTATTGATGAACATAGTAACGCATGTTTTGGTGTTACATATATTTTACTTATGTTGTTTTATACGTGTTAGTTATATTTTTCATTTTAGTTATATTTTTCATTCTCTTGTTTTTCACTTAGTATTATCATTTTCATGTGTTTCAGAAAATGGGTATGACAGGATAGTTAAATTTTGGGTATCATTGATTACAGCACTTGACCAAGGAGAAATCAAGATTCTTTCAATGGTGAGTTGAAGAGATAGGTTCATGAGAAAACTTTCATCAGAATTCTGAGAATGTTAAAGACATATTTTCCATTCACATAATATATTGTTGGAAAGATAATTAAGTAAGGATTCTAGAACATTTTACAGATCTGAATTTGGACATCTCTATGGAAAGTTATTATAATTATACTCCTGACTGTCCAGCTGCCTTATGCACTCGAGAATACAAGGAGTTCTCATAATTTCAAGGTTCCTAGAAGACTTTAATGTATATGAATGATGAATGAACGAATTTGCCTTTTAGACTTCATGTATGTTCATTTAATTTAATTACTCATGCTTGGAGGGTTGTTCCAAGTCATAACTATATAACTCACATCATTGTAAGCCTGGAGGCAGAGAGTTTTGAATACGAATTATGTCTTTTGAGAGGTGTCTATCATTCTCTTCTTAACTCTGTATCTTTTGGTGGATTCCAAGAGTGGTGTGTTTTCTTAGCTCGAGAAATGAGTCCTGGAGCTTGGTCAATTTAAGATAATTAAAGCTCGAGATATAAGTTATTTAAAAGTCCAGAGATTTAAGACATTAAGTTTAAATGAATTTGAATGAAAAGATTTAATGAATAACTAAGCAATAACATTTGATATCTGCATGGTATTTCATTGTGTAGATCTTTTTGTAAAATATTTTTATAAAAACGTTTTAGAGTAAAAAAATTCTCATTTTCAACATTAAGAAAGGCATTCTTAGAGATATGTTACAAGTCATATAAAACATTCATTTTCCTCCATTTTACATGAAAAATGAAATTGTCTTTGGTTCACTTTAAAAAATCCCCTTTAATTAAGCTCAAAGCAATAGCACTGGTGTAAAGGAAAAAGGTTTCAAGAAAATCAAGGTAATTTGTTCTAATTATTTGCCCCATATGTTCATGATATGTATATATGTATCGCTGTGATGTGTTTTACGATTTTTGAAGTTATGAACCACGAGGTTTATGTATGGCTATAATCGGTTTCTACGATTACAGTGAATTCTTCAAAATCAGTATTCATCTGCATAAAATGTCCAATTCTTTTATGTCAATTTGTATATATGTGTGTATATTTCTGATCGAAAGGGTGTAACAATGATATGTCCTATAGAGATTAACGTTTACCCTTCTATATTGTTTGTTCTACTTGATAATTATAATTTCCAAATCTAATGCTTAAAGTTCCATTACTACTTCTGTAAATAATATTATCTTCTGGTACCAATATTGGTTTTTCTAAAACATTTCTTAAATTTTAATCTAATCCTACATTTATTTCTTAAGAGAATTTCTTTGCTGGGATAGCTTTTATACCTTTTTGTCATAATATTGTAATTAATCGATTATTTTCTAATTTATAAATAGTAGTACTATTTTTACTAAGCCTTCCCATAAATCCTGTGCAAATTAATAAATTATCCTCATCTCTTTTCATTTGATGTCCTTTGCTTTTTATTCCTATTTCAATATCATTATACAAATTCTTTGTTTTGACTAAATAGTCTGGTGTAAATTATAATATTCCGTCTTTATTATTCATATCTAATTCTATGCTTCCTAACAATCCATGTTCTATATTTGTGAATCTGTTATCATATAAACATACTAATTTTTTAGCTCCTAAATTTTCTCTATGAAGTATTTTTACTCCTATTATTATTAATCATAAATGAGTCTCTTGTAGATTTTTATTAACAATTTCGTTATAAGATTCTTTTTCTTTTAAATCTAGGGATATAAATTGTTCTTTATATGTACAAGAAGCATATCTTTCTCCATAATACTGATATATTAAAGATTTGCTAAATAAACTTCATTTTTTTATATATGTCTAAAGCTTTTACTAATTTTCGTTTATTTTGTCTAAGCTATTCTATCTGTTCTTCTATATCTGATAGAGATTCTAGTCTTATTTCGGATTATGTTTTTCTACTTAATGTTCTTAGTAAAGGATTACCAATTAATTTACTACTATTGGCTACAATTTGTTTTTCTTTGTTCATTACGTATAGATCCACATAGTCTTCTTAAATTTACTAGGTTCTTTAGTCTTCCCTAATAACTTTTCTAATTTATTGTTATATTATCTAAATCTTGTCTAGTATCTATTGACTTTTCTTTTTTGAATGTTTTAACTCTACTTTCCGATTTTTCTGAGTTAAGATTAGTATCCGTTTTTCCTATATTCTTAAATTTTCTTTTTAGTATTTCGGTATTTTGATTCTTAATATATTCTATATTACTTTCTAGATTTTTTGTATTTTTACTTATATTTTCTAATAAATTTTCTACCTTTTATTTAAATTGTTTCTTTCTAAATTTACGAGGAAATCAACAATATTATTTAGTTGTTTATCCTCAGAGTGTAAAAGATCCTGAAAATTTTTATCAAAATTACAAATCAAAGAAGTTGTAACTAAACTATCTCTTCTTATAAAATTTCGTAAGATTTCTAAATATAAGTAATCTACTCTATTCAAAAACTAATTATCTTTCAGACTAGGAAATCACTCTAATACCAATGAGGGTGGCAATCAGGTCTTAATGGCAAGCAAGGTTTAACAGAAAAGTAATAAAAAAGTCTTTGTAGTAGTAGCAAAAAGTCTAAATCTTATTTATGGTTTGAAAAATAGTAAGAAGAAGTCTTTGTAGTAAGAAAAATAAGTGCCACTTAAATACGCAGAAAGTGATAGAAAGTGACAAATCTTACCAATTAATTTAGTGAGAGTGAAAAAAGTTTTTTAGCCAATTACAAAAGTCTTCAAATTACGTAACCTTAATAGAAAGTCTTCTAATCAGTTCCAAAAACTCTATTAAGATTAAAAATCTTAAAAGAAAAATTTTTCTCTTACAAAAGGGAATTTTACTACTTTTATCTTTATTTTCTCTTATAAGTTTTATGTCTTTTTGCATTTTCATACAATCTTCGGGATCTTTTGTCAAGGAAGCCTTACTATGAATCCCTTGCAAATTAATAAATTATCCTCATCTCTTTTCATTTGATGTTCTTTTGTTTGTATTCTTATTTTAATATCTTTATAGAAATACTTTGTTTTGACTAAATAGTCTGGTGTAAAATATACTATTCCGCTTTTATTGTCCATATCTAATTCTATGCTTCCTAACAATCCCTATTCTATATTTGTGAATCTGCTATATATAAAAATACTAATACTTTAGCTCCTAAATTTATTTTATGAATTCCAATTACTTCTATCATTATTAATCCTAGATGAGTGTGTTGAAGATTTTTATTAACAATTTCTTTATAAGATTCTTTTTCTATAAATCTAGGGATATAAATTGATCTTCATGTGTACAAGAAACATATCTTTCTCCATAATGATGATATGTTAAAGATTTGCTAAATAATTTTCCTTTTTTATATATGTCTAAAGCTTTTACTAATTTTTGTTTATTTTGTCTAAACTATTCTATTTGTTCTTCTATATCTATTAGGATTCTAGTCTTGTTTCACATTCTATTTTTCTACTTAATGTTCTTAGTAAAGGATTACCAACAAATTTACTACTACTTGCTACAATTTGTTTTCCTTTGTTCATTACGTATATATCCACTTATTCTTCTTTAATTTACTAGGTTCATTAGTCTTCCCTAAATCTAAATTTTCTAATTTATTGTTATATTATATAAATCTTGTCTAGTGTCTATTGACTTTTCTTTCAAATGTTTTAACTCTACTTTCCAATTTTTCTAAGTTAAGATTATTATTTGTTTCTCCTATATTGTTAAATTTTTTCTTTTCAGTATTTCAGTATTTTGATTCTTAGTATATTCTAAATTACTTTCTAGAGTTTTTATATTTTTACTTATATTTTTAATAAATTTTCTACCTTTTTATTTAAATTGTTTCTTTCTAATTTTACGAGTAAATCTACAATACTATTTAGCTATTTATCCCTAGAGTGTAAAATATAAATTTTTTTTATCAAAATTACAAATCAAAGAAGCTATATCTAAACTATCTCTTCTTTTAAAATTTCCTAGGATTTCTATATTAAGTAATATACTCTTTTCATTGACTAATTATCTTTTAGACTAGGAAATAGCTCTGATACCAATTAGAGTGGCAAGCAAGTCTTAATGGCAAGCACGGTTTAACAGAAAAATAGTAATAAAAAAGTCTTTGTAATATATCAAAAAGTCTAAATCTTAATTATGGTTTGAAAAATAGTAAGAAGAAGTCTATGTAGTAAGAAAAATAAGTGCCAATTAGACACGTAGAGAGTGATGGAAAGTGACAAATCTCACCAATTTATTAAGTGATAAGTGCCAATTTGTGCCTTTTTGTCTTTTCTTACAATCTTGAGGATCTTTTATCAATAAACTTAGACACTGAGAGATAGAAAGTTTAGTGATTTGCTTTTTGATCTGTAAAGAGGAGTCACCTCTATTTCTATCTAGTGCAGATAATATGTGGCTTCCTGTAACGATTAATCTCCTAATTTCTCGATTTTCTAAACAAATATCAATAAATTCTTTAAAAATTTCTACTGAACAACAAAGCAAAGTAGATAAAATATAATTATCTAATGATATAAAAAAATATTGGATCTTAAAAACAATACGGTAGTAATGGCCTCAAAGTACTTTATCGTTCAACAAATTAATTTTTTTCTATAAACTCTCTCTTAGCTTTCTTCTCAACCTTTTACAAAAGGTTTAAGATTATAACCAAAAAGATTTGTGCCACAAGTTTTGTTAGCTGCAGTATATTTTAGTCCTTAACATTTGCTTATGTCTTGCTTATTTTTTCAACATTTTTTCATTATATTCAAATACTTAACCTTTCATTAATTACCATATCTTATCACTCACGATAATTTTCATCTAACAGATACATTGGAAGTCATAAAATGACTTATTTGTCCCTTATAAATAAGCCCAAAAAAAAAAAAAAAGTAGTTCGATAAAAAAAAATATCTATTACTTCAAAGCTCGTTAACATACTATTAACAGTGTAAATATTGACTTGGCATCCAAGTACATGATCAACGTAGTACGTTGTCTGACTAGTAGTAAAAAGGATTTTGCAATTTAATTTTAAAAACTATTTTATACGGGAGTTCCTTGATATGTTAGGAAGCTTCTTACTGGATGCAGAATAACTGGGGCCTTAGGATATGTTCTAAATTAACCTTCTCATAATTCCATTATATTGAAAGAAATACTTACTGGTCAAAATTCAGGCTAGGGGTTAGCCGTGCTTATTATTATTATTATTATTATTATTATTATTATTATTATTATTATTATTATTATTATTATTATTTCTAATTTTTTTTACTAATTTCTTCTCACCTTCTATTTTGGTTCCATAGTATTGAAGCACTGACACATGTCAGAGCGTATCAATGCATGTCAATGTTCAATTCATTTCAGAACAGACACGTCGGCACCAACAACATGCTAGTACGACTTATTATCCAACCTAATTCCCGGGATATACATGAAAATGGCCCAAATAGTATATAACCTTTTCCAAAATGACCTTTGACTTTTTTAGAAATTTGAAACTATCCAAAATATCCTTGGAAAAATTTAACAACCAACCCTTTATATAATAAAAAGTTTCTTTTTTAGTCCTTAAAAAATCTAACAAATAATTTTTCTAAAAATTTGTAAAAATTATTAATGAATAATTATAAAATGGAAAAGCCCAAATATAAGAGAGGACCATATAATATAAAAAAGGTTGTTAAAAATAAAAAAGAAATTAAATTTGAAAAAGAAATTGATAAGATAGGATATCAAGAACAATTATATGCATCACAAGAAATATTAAAATGTTTTAAAGAAAACTTATTAGAAAATTTCGCTAAAGGAATTGTAAGGTCAATAATCATAAAAGATATACAAGATATAATAGATAAATTGGCAAAAAGAAAGAAAAGTATCTCAAAATATGAAATACCTTTTGAAACAGACATAGATATGATAACAGATATTGATATTATAAATTCTCAAACATTATTAGA